GCCAAAGGCAGATGCTCAACCACTGAGCAACCCAGGTGCCCCAAATGTTAAAATCCTTAAAAAAATAGTGATTGTCTCCAGTAATGTATAAAAAGGATTATATATTATGACCAGGTAGGGTTTACCCAGATTAGCTTAACATCTAAATATCACTTAATGTAATGCATATATTAATAGGATAAAGCCAAAGTCAGCAATCTACAGCCCACAGATCAAATTTAGTATGTCTTTTGTTTCAGTAAATAAAGTATTATTGGAATACAATTATGCCCATTCATTCACGTTATCTATAATTGCTTTCATGCTATAAGAGCAAAATTGATTGACTGAAACAGAGATCGTGTAGCTCACAACACTAAAAATATATACTATATGGTCCCTTCAAAAAATATTGCTGACGCCTGGAATAAAGAAGAAAGTCATATGATAATTTCAACAGATGTGGAAAATACATCTGACAAAATCCAACAAACATAATAAAGCTTTCAACAAATTAGGACTAGAACGAAACTTCTTTAATTTGATAAAAGGCAGCTATATACAAAACCTACAACTAACACCATACTTAAAGATGAAAGACAATGCTTTCCCCCAATATTAGGTACAAAGCAAGGATGTCCACTCTTTCCACTTCTATTCAACATTGGACTGGAGCTTCTAGCCATTGCAACAGGCAAGAAAATGTGAATATAATATCAATAAACAACCAATTAGAAATTAAGTTAAGAAAAGTTTATATTCACAACAGTTTAAAAAATATTCGGGACTAAATTTAACAAAAGAAGTGCAGACTATACATACCAAAAATTATAAGACATTGTCAAGAAAAATTAAAGACCAAAATGAATGCAGATATGCCTAAAGTCTGCAAATTGGAAGACTCAATGTTATTAAGATATCTATTTTCTCAAAATTGACCCAAAGATTCAATGGAATTCTTATGTAAATACCAATGGACTTTGCTGTGTAAATTGATAAGCTAATGCTGAAATTTACATAGAAATCCCAAAGACCAAAAACAGCTAATATGGTTTTTAAAAAGAACTAAGTTTGAGGACTTATTTGACCTAATTTCAAAATTTACCATAAATCTGTAGTAATCAAGACAGTGCAGTGTCACATTTATAGAGAAAAACCTTTTTAACTTTAGGTTAGGCAAAAATTTCTTAGATATGATGACAGGCATATTGCTAAATTAGACTCCATCAAAGTTAAAAACTTGCTCTTCAAAAGACACCATTAAAAATGAAAAATAAGAAGAATGAAAAGTCACAGACTGGAAGAAAATATTTGCAAACATACATCTAATAAAGAACCTGCATCCAGAACATATTAAGAAACCCTGAAAAAGAATCCCTAAAAAATCAAAATTAAGAAAACCAACAACCAAATCTAAGAAAATGGGCAAAAAGACTTTAATAGACAGTAGGCAATGAAAATATATGAATAGCAACTAAGCATATGAAAAAACAGTCATTATTCATTGTGAAAATGTAATTTTATTAAATATTATATTTATTTATTTGAGAAAGAGAACACAAGAGAGCAGAAAGCAATCACAAGTGGGGGGAGGGCAGAAGCAGCAGCAGACTGAGCAGGAAGCCCCATGGCGGGTTCAATCCCAGGATCTAGGGATCCTGAACCAAAGGCAGATGCTTCAGCAGCTGAGCCCCCCAGGCAACCTGTGAAATTGTCATTTTAAATCACAATTATTTACTGCTATGTATACTACATACCCACTTGAATGGCTAAGATTTAAATGACTTATGATACCAAATGTTGGAGAAGAAGCAGAGAAGCTGGGATCCTTATATATTGTGAGTGGAAATGTAAAATAGTACCTAAATTTTGCAAAGTAGTTTGACAGTTTTTAAAAATGTTATACATATACTTACCATATAACCTAGTAATTCTGTTCCTAGGTACCACAAATATTTGTATATGAGTGGACATCATATTCATAGCAGCTAAAATCTAGAAATAATCCAAAAACCCATCAGCAAGTAAGTAGATAAACAAGATGAGTGAAAGACATCTTACAAGAGAATAACTATATACAATTTGGTACTTCCATACAACGGAATACAACTCTGTAATAAAAAAGGAATGAATTACTAATACATTCAACTTGGATGAGCTTCAAAAATAGTATGCTATGTTAAAGAAGCTAACAGTTAAGTTTACATATGATTCTGTTTAAATGAAATTTCTAGAAAAGGGAAAATTAGAGACAAAAGCACCTGGAGTTGGAGGTGGGGGCAGAGTTTTACTGCAAACAGAAACATGAGTGTTTTGGGTTTCATTTCTGAACTTTTTTGAGTTGATGGAAATGTTCTCAAATGAGACTGTAGTGATGGTTACACAACTTTATAAATTTATTAACACTCGTCAAATTGTACATTTAACTGTAAACTTATGATATAGAAATCAAAACTCAATGAAGTTACTTTCTGTTTAAAAACAAAAAGAAAAAATAAAAATAAAAACAAAAAGATTGCTTTCTGCTTAAAATACACTCGCCATATACTATTTGTATTGCTGTTACACAGGAGTGTCCTATCACTTTTTAAAATTACTAATTCAGATTGGAATATGAAGTGTTCCTGCACAAAATCAATACTGACTTGATTCATTTCTCTGCCTCTTCTATCATTCCTGTGCACATACTTGGCTCTATATTTCAACCCTAGCTCAGCAATTTTCAAGGTGTGGTTCAGAGACCAATTCTTTTCTGAAAGTCTGCTAGGTTAATACTATTTCCATAATAATTCTAAGGCAATATTTGCCTTTTTCACTTTATTCTTTTATGAATGCACAGTGAAACTTTCCATATGACATATGAATCACAACAGATTGCATGAAGCAGACATGAGAATCCAACTGTTTTTTTTTTTTTTTTTTTTTTTTAACTAAGCCAGACAGATTTACAAAACCACTCATCTGGTTTTAGGGAAAATATAGTTTTAGCATAAAAGTGTGTTATAGTAATATGTAATGGGTTTATTATTGATATTTTAAATGAATTGATAACTATTTTTAAAGTCCTCAGTTTTTATTTATGGCAAATATTTATAGATAAAATCATACCGATAGATAAAAGAACAAAATTGGATAAATAAAAGCTTTTTGGAATCTTCAGTCATTTTGGTGGATGTAAAGGTTCTGAGATAATGAAGTTTGAGAATCACTGCCCTTGTCCACCTGCCAGATATAAGCATTCCTGTTTGCCACATCTGACAACAAGGGATTAGAGAACTGGGCAGATCTTCTTTGAAAGCTAACTTGTCTTGGTTGCAAAAATCATCTGCTTCAAGATAAACCTATAGGTTTTAGTCAGGTCATCATTTAGAAATGTAGCAACTGTTAATCCAAGATTTTTCTTTTTCTTGATGGTGATACACAGAGTCCTAGAAAAGGAGAAACATAGTCATGGAAAGGACTTGAAGCAGCACCTAGCATAAGAGTAAGCCCTTAAAATAGGTAGTAATTACTATGTTATTATTAGACTACAGCAGTTCTTATTTATCTAACACGTATTTATTAAATGCCTACTATAAGCCAGGCTCTATGGGTCAGCATTGAGGATTCAATAAGGAGGAAAACACTGCCTGTCCTCAAGGAGTTTATAGTCAAGGAATGAAGTCAGGAGAGTAATGACATAAAGAAATACATAATTAGGGGGCACCTGGGTGGCTCAGTGGTTGAGCATCTGCCTTCAGCTCAGATTGTGATCCTGGGGTCCTGGGATCCAGTCCCAGGTTGGGCTCCCGCGTTGGGCTCCCAGGACGGAGCCTGCTTCTCCCTCTGCCTAGGTCTCTGCCTCCTTCTTTGTGTCTCTCACGAATAAATAAAAATAAGACATACTTACGAATTGTGGAAGAGTTTTAAAAGAAGTGATGGACATCCAAGTGCATAGAGGAGATCTGACATGATTTTCAGAATCAGACAAGATTTCTCCGAGGAAGTGATGGCTGAACTGCAAGTTGAAAAATAAGCAGGAAGAGGCAAGGAGACACAAGAGAGAAACAACATTCAAAGCCCCTTCAGGTAGAATGATGAAAGGCCAGTGTGGCTGGAGTCCACAGCGCCTGAGACATTTGGGGCTTTAATATGCTTTGCAGGTATATTAGACCTTTATCATGCGGTCAGCGGGGAGCCATGGGACTATTTAGGAGAATGCGGTGAGACAGAACCAGATTTTCACTTTTATAAAGATCTCTGGCAGCTGGAACATAGAGGAACAAGGGTGAAAAACGGAGACTATCCACACAGCGATGGCAGTATCCAGGTGAAAGGCGATGGAGGCTTAGAACAGAGTAATGGCGGCGGAGCCCAAAGAAGCAAATGGGTGTGGCATGTTCTTTTTGCAAGTAAGTGATTAATCACCAAAGGACCTGGTGATTAATTGTAAGTTCAGCTAGTACAGTCACTGTACTAAAGGGGAGCTGCAAAATCTAGCCCCCCCCACCCCACCCCCAGGCACAGATCCCAAACCCCAACATGATGCCCGGGGCCTTTTGCTGTATTCAGGCCGGGGAGGTCGCACGTACACGGCCTGGTGCCCCACTTTACCCCCTGGAGGTCAGCGGAGTGGAACCGCACCGTTTCCTGGCAACACCATTGTCGGGCTCCCCGGGCGGGGGAGGGGTAACTAAGGACAACGGCTGGATGAGAACTCCGGAAGAGACGCCAAGTCAGACCGGGGAAAATGGGCAGCACGTGGCACAGCGCAGGCCGCCGCGGGTGATTCGAGGGCTCAGCACGCGGCCGCAGCGGAGGGCGGGAGGGGCCGGAGAATGCGCCTGTGATTGGACAGCCGAGGGAACAGCGACACCTGTGATTGGACGAGGCCGAGCCCGGGGCCGCTTCTGGCACCGCGTAGGGTTCTGGGTAGCAAGGCCTTGGAAGGGTCTTAACCGAAAGGGGGAGGGGGAAGGTCGCCAACAAACGGCTGAGCTCACAATCCCGGCCGGGGCCAGGCCGGGGCGCCCCCTCCCCCCATGGAGAGGGCCAGGCCGGAGCCGCAGCCCCAGCCCCAGCCCCAGCCCCAGCCGCGCCAACTGCCGCGGACGACCCCGCCGCGCCCGCTCCGCCCTGCTCCTCCCCAGCCGCCGGCCGAGGGCGCCTCCTTTCGGGCTGCGGCCGCGGAGCCGCCGCCGTCGCCTCCTACCCCGTGCGCGGCCGCCATTGCGACCGTGGCCTCGTCGTGCGGGGAGGCCCAGGCGTCGGGGGTACAGCCCGCGGCACGGCGGCTGCTGCAGGTGAAGCCCGAGCAGGTGCTGCTGCTACCGCCGGGGCCACCGCTGGCTCAGGCCCGGGACGAAGGCGGCGTCCCCTCGCCCGCGCAGGCGCGGCTGCTGCAGCTGAGGCCCGAGCTGCTGCTGCTGCCGCCGCCGCTGCCGCCGCCGCCGCCGCCGCCGCCGCCGCCGCCGCCGCCCGCGTCCGACGGCGCCCCCTGCAGACCCGACCTGCACGCGGTGCAGCCTCGGGCCCTGCTCGTCAAGGCGGAGAAGCAGGAGCAGGGGCCCGGCTCGGAGCCGTCGCCGTCGGCGGGGACGCGGAGGCCTGCGGACGGGGGCCCTCGGGCCTCCAGGGCGGCCACGCTGGAAGGCCCGGGGCCAGCCCTCGACGGCCGCCGGGGGGACCAGAAGAAGGGCAGGCTGGAGGCGGAGGCGGAGGCGGTCGCGAGGGACGCGCCGAAAGGCGGGGAAGGCAAAAACCTGGCGGCCATCAGAGAAGGGGTCATCAAAACGGAGGAGCCCGAGGCGCCCCGCGAGGACTGCAGACTGGGCGGGGAGCCCGCGTCCAATGGCCTGGTCCAAGGCAGCAAGGAGGTCATCCTGGCCCAGCCGTCCGGCGCCTTTGGGCCCCACCAGCAAGATCTCAGGATCCCTCTGACTCTCCACGCGGTCCCCCCTGGGGCCCGGATCCAGTTTCAGGGACCTCCACCTTCAGAGCTGATACGGTTGACCAAGGTCCCCATGACGCCAGTGCCTATTAAAATGCAATCTTTACTGGAGCCTTCTGTAAAAATTGAGACCAAAGATGTCCCGCTCACCGTGCTTCCCTCAGATGCAGGTATTAGACGGCAGGGGAATCTGGTTTTCACACTTCGTCCGTGTGGCCCCCCAGCTGATATGTCAGCAGTTCAGAAGCCTAAGCTATAAAAATAAAATCACGGAACTGATTCGTTACAGGGCAAAGTCTGCACAGGTATCGCTTCCAACTGACTCGTACATATATATACCAGTAAAGTACACTAACATGTTCCAAGATTCCCAAGCATTTTTTTTTAAGACTCTGTTCTAAGGCCCAGTGAGTGATGAGATTGAGAGGTGACCAGTGTTTATACACAAAATCGAAGTTTCCTCACTAGGTCACACAGCTATCTCAGCCGTCAGTTTCTATGCTACACTTGAGAATAGTGTATTACGGTACTCTTACGTACAGCGTACTATATGATACACTATTATAGTAGATCAGTGTTTTTTATAGGCATCAAGAAAACTTCAAATGGTGCTTAGTGAAGAAATTGAGAGTCAAAAGTTTATACTGAATTTGTGATTCAGGAGGCGATTTGTCTTCCTTAAAAATCAATGGTAACATTTTCAAAGAAAACAGTACATGATAAATGTGACACTTTAGTATTCTAAAAGCTAAGGATTTATGGAAATACAGAGACTTAAAATACTTAGAATAAGCTAGAAAATGTTTTCTAAGAAATGACTATAGTTAGCAGTAATGACTACAAATAGGTATTTTATCTCTACCCATTATTTACGAACATGTAGTTAGAAAATTCTTTAAGATTTAATTCAGACAATTTTATGCTAATGAATGTCATGAAAAATCAATCGTTAATCATGAGTTCATATTTTAATTGACATTTATATTTATTTTTTTTCTTATTATTTTCCTTACTGATCTCACCCTCTTGGTTTTATAGACTTCATTTTCTAAAGGAGAGAAAGGGAAAGCTTTCCTTATAGTAATTTAGACTTTTGTGCATTTAAAAGACTTTTATATATCAAGTTAACTAAAGAGAAACAAAATAAGTTTATAGAGAGTTGTTTTTGATGAATTACATAAGAGATGTGAATTTAGCCACCTTTTTACAATTGTGATTTCACCTGATTATGTGAGTCTCAAAAAGCCACCTTTATTATTTTTCTTTTGTTTTTTCCTCCCAGGACATAGGATTAGTATCAATGACCCACCTTGGCAAAAGCTTCACCTTCCTAATGAAATAGACTATAGTATTAATATTATTAATTTCTTTGCTTGAACGAACAGGCACTACAGGGTCATGTAAATGAGTTAATGTAAACATTTAAGGAAAACATAGCTAGTGCTAGGATATAGTCATGAATAAGTCATAGATCCTGTCCCTCAGTAATAGAGTATTTTTAATGGGAAAGAAACTAAATGTTAATTATTGGTAGAGGTATTACGAAAGCGCAAAGAAGTAACAAGCCAGCAGTTTACTGTTTCTTCAACATTATTACTCCTACAATATCTTCAACAATATTATTCTTTTTGAGGAAAAGAAGAGTCATTCTAAGCTATAGTTTAGAATGCTGAGTTCAGGAGTTATGAGGCATTCTGGAATACTGGCAGTTCTTTGACTATATTTTCTCCAGTTAAAAAATATAGTTGAAGGCACACTTCACTTTAACATTGTGTGTGTGTGTATGTGCGTGTGTGGCACATTAATTCAGTCTCTTAATTTTTGTCATGTAGGAATACCAGATACTCCCTTCAGTAAGGACAGAAATGGTCATGTGAAGCGACCCATGAATGCATTTATGGTTTGGGCAAGGATTCACCGGCCAGCACTAGCCAAAGCTAACCCAGCAGCCAACAATGCAGAAATCAGTGTCCAGCTCGGGTTAGAGTGGAACAAACTTAGTGAAGAACAAAAGAAACCCTATTATGATGAAGCACAAAAGATTAAAGAAAAGCACAGAGAGGAGTTTCCTGGTAATCAAATGAATTAAACAAAACCTCTTTCTAATTTTTTCTAAATTTATTTAGGTCAAGATTAGTTTAGGTTGAGACTGAAAGACAAAAATGCATCATTTTTTTTCTAGTCTGATATGTACAATAAAGAGAATAATGGCTAATATTATAGTAATGATTGAATTAATATGGGGCGTACGTTTCCTTAAATAGAACCAAGTAGAGGAATATCTGGTCTCATATTGCCAATTGATAACAAACCAGGGGACATAATTTTACTGTAGTTTTGATTAAATATACTGATATGAATTTAACGAAGGTAAAACTCCAGAGTTCAGGCTACAATTTTGCAAATATACTAGAAAATGAAGAGTTAAAATTATAGCAACAGAAACAAATACGCATCATACACTTAATGAAAATGGAGGGATTGACACCGTGCTCCATTTTAATGTTATATGGTTATCAGGACACAGTTTTGTCTTTTAATTTATAAATTTATCCTCATGATAATGTAGTTTGAAACAATTTCTGATTTACTCCTCAGCCACAAGGATGTTTAGATTAAGCATATGTAAAGGCAAATGTATGGCCAACATGATCATGCATGATGGGAAAATAATTATTTAAAAAAAAAATATGAGCAGAAAGGTTTGGGGTGTTATGGAGAACCAGTGATTCTCCTGGTTATTCAGTGGCTGCAAACTGCTAAACTTCACCATCCTGACTTTGGAAGGAAATTGGGTGATTTGTGAACTTGAGACTGCCAAGTTTAGGAGAATGGCTCTTCCTAAGGTAGGCATAAAATTAGTAACTGGTGATTAGTGACCATTCCATGTAAGGTATAGACAATTGAATCTCATTGAAAGTGAGGGAACAGGAGGAGATGAGTAATATCTTACAGGGGCATTATTTTATAGGTAAAGGAAAAACTTTGAGATTCAAACTCAATGTCTTTAATGTTGATGTTACTGTGGATTCAATATATGTCTTTGGATATAAGACACTTAACCTCACTCTTCCTCTGACTTATGGGTTACAATATTAACCACTAGTTAGGAGCTATATGGATATTAAAATGCACAGAAATTGCATAATAAAGCTGGAAAAGATCTTTAGGCAATAACTTATGTTTTTGTTAATTTAGAAGTATTTTGGATTTTTTTTATTGTGAAAAGAACTATTTAAATGCTAAATAGGATCTTTATGTTCAAATTAAAAAATCACTTATCTTCTTCTACAGGTTGGGTTTATCAACCTCGTCCAGGGAAGCGAAAACGCTTCCCTCTAAGTGTTTCCAATGTATTTTCTGGTACCACACAGAATATCATCTCTACAAATCCTACAACAATATATCCTTATCGCTCACCTACCTACTCTGTGGTAATTCCCAGCCTACAGAACACCATCACTCATCCAGTTGGTGAGTTTGTTTTAGTTGTAGATTATGAATTTTTAAATAGCTGTGTGAAAATTTTACCTTAAGTTGAAATTTTGTTTCTGTTAGCTTAAGAATTATTAAAACAACAATATTAAGGGAAAAAAATCAAGAAGAAAGTAAAAACATGAACTCAGAGAAGGAAAAGGTACAGAAGACATGAAAGCATTTGGTTTGCCAGAGTAGCAAATGTTTCATGTGTAAAATCTCAGACCTTTTAACCAAATCTGGATAAGCCCATAGATGAGGCAGATAAGATAATGCAGGAAATGACTGAGGTAATTCAATAGGAAATAGGAGTATCTTTTTACTATCAGCATAAAAGAATACCTTGCTAATGTGGGATATAGAGCATCCTGTTCTGGAATTTAGCAATCATGACTGATCTGTTAAGATCATTCATTCTCTCACTGCTCTAGAAAAGCAGTGGAAGTAATCTATTTTCTACCAAATATTTGTTTCTTTAATATTGTCTTTCCCTAAATTTCTGCTCTATTACCAGTTCTTTATAGCATTCCTGTCTGTTCCTTTTAAGAATCTAAAGTTGAGAAACTAGTATCTTAGTAACTTGTAGGGCTGTCCATCATGGGTTTGTTCTTCTAGAACCTATTTTAACCATCTCTTAGGCAGAGCTTTGTACATTCAGTACTTACTATTACTTGTCCTAAAACTACTGCTCTTTCCAGTTTCCACTGCTTTCCAGTTTATTACCCTTCTGGTAATAAAGCCCCCCTGTGTGCTGAGAGATTTAGATATCTTAAAAATCGACTTCTTAGAATATTACACATTTTCGATTTTTTTCTATGTATCATTATAGCAATTGACAGCAACAAAGCCACAGTCAAGTTATCTAGTTTCAAGAGATAGATGCAGAAAGCTCATTCTATTGTCCCATTCTCCCCCAGCATAGTCAGGAACTTCCACACTTCAATATTTGGTAGTATTTGCTTTAATCTTGTATTTCAAGTTAAGTGTTAACTTTGTTTTGTCTCCTATGTTATTTATGATTTCTGCTTTCATAACTTATATTTCTTCTCTTTATTCCTTTTTCTAAGACCTCTTTTCCTTCTGCTTCTGCCTATGGTTAAATGCCATATGAGATCATTTGTATCTACTTCTAATATTTTCTCAGTTCTGACTGAGTTTCTTAGTGAATGTCACCTAAGATCTAGTTGTATTAATTTTGTCAATTTGGACTAGAACACTCTGTGAACTTGCAATTATACCATAGTAATGTATATATTCTTAACCTATCTGCAATGAAAATGAGTTGGGGTTCAGAAATCTTAGTCTTCTTTAGTTGGAAGGAGTTTATTGAATCTTTCTGCTCGTCTTTCCATTGCCTTTTATATTGTAATGACTAGTCCACTGATTCCACTGGGTTTCTTCCTTCTGTAAGAGTCATGTAGCATTGGCTTTGAGGTCCCTCAGATGTGACTCCTTCAATTTTCCTTTCGACTGCCTAATTTTTATTTGCACCTACACAGTTGAGCTTCTAGTTTTATACATTTGGACAATACTTTCTTCTTTAAAAGATGTCTTTCAAAAAAAATAAAAAATAAAAGATGTCTTTCCTTTTTGATGGATTCTCTTTGGTCAGTTAACTAATAACAACTTTCTGATTTTTGAGGCACATTTTTTTCTTTCTAGGCTTTTAGCATTATAATATAAAATAACTTTCATTTTTTTAATGAACTCTTAATTTTATTTATCCCTATTAGCCTTTTTTCCCCTAGCCAACATCTGTATTTCCAAAAATCTAATAACCCCAGGATGGACTTTTTTGTCTTTTCTGGTTAGGATCTTAAATTTAAGTATACTGTGATCACTGCTGCCTAATATTTCATGTACAGAATTCATGCACTTTCTAGTAGTCTTTATCCATTATTTGGTCCTCAAACTTATTTCATTTTACTGTGTATTCTAAGAAACTTATTTGTTCTAATAAGCAGTTATTTGTTATGTATTGTATCATCCTAGCACATTTTTATCTCATTGAGTCAATCTATTTGAAATCTAGCAATGCAGTTTGGTTTTTTCCCTTGTTTTGGTGAATATTTCCATCTCAGATGTTTTCTGTCTACAGTATATTCCACCGTCATATTTGCATGCCTGTCTACCTACTCCCCACTACCTAATGTTTATTTAGCACCAAATATAGGTCAAACTCTGTGCTTGAGACAGAATACAAAGGTATCTTTAGTCTCTTGTCAAAGAGCTTATAAGGTAGTTGTAGAAAGGATAGATACCAATACAACTAATTTTACTATTTCTTTGATAGAATCTGTAGTACCTTGTCTGTTATTATTTCTATGACCAATGCATTATGTTCACTCTGTCTTTCACATTCCCAAGCTCCTCTCCTCTTTCTCATTTCCAAATGATTACAGCATTGTAGTCTAGAATTTTTTTAGATGTATTCCTTTTATCAAATGTCTTTGATGCTGGTTATGCCACATTTTCATTTTATATTAAATATCAAATTTGTTTATTTTAAAGTTTAAACTGACTTTAAACTTCAGTTTCTAAAGTTCTAAAGTCTTCTAGAACTCTGGTGGAAGCCATACTTATTTTAGCCTTTTATTTATTTTATTTTATTTTTTAAGATTTTTTATTTATTCATGAGAGACACACAGAGAGAAAGAGGCACAGACACAGGCAGACAGAGAAGCAGGCTCCATGCAGGGAGCCCGACGCGGGACTCATCCGGGGTCTCCAGGATCAGGGCCTGGTCCAAAGGCGGCGGCAAACCACTGAGCCACCCGGGCTGCCTTTAGCCTAACTTTTAAATGTCACTTTTATATGAGTAGGAGTTTTCTGGAAAATTATTTTGTTCTTTACATTTTATTTCTGAAGCCTGAAATTGGTTTGCCTTATTATACTGTCATTCAGTTGACGTCCTTAACTCTCCAGAATTCACATTTTCTCTAAATTTTTAATTTAAAAAGTTTACTACTATTTCAAATGTTTGGTAGTAGACATATCATGCCTTTTTACGTTACCTACCTTTTCTTGTTTAATTCAAACAAACCAAAAAACCTCCATTATTCTGATACTGTTATAATCCAGAAAAAGCTGATTTTCTCTTGGCCTTAAGATCCATTCCAGCAAGGTATCATGTCCATGAGAAATGAATCTGGCTCAAAAATTCCTTGATAAGTGATATAGCTCTTTATTGTAGGTTTCCTTGAGGAAGCAGGAAAGGAAGAAGCACATGGTTCAACATATAGTAAGTCATCTTGAGGCTCTTCATTACAATTGTCTCTAATATCCCACCTTTTTTTTTTTTAATCAGTTGCCTGATTGTCCCAATTCTCCATTCCCCATCTCTGTCTCTAATGTCTCTGCCTGTTACTCTATTTCTCTCTCCTCTCCTTCTCTCTCTGCCTCCTTTTCTCTTTGTTCAGCCACATGCTAGTCCTTCGCTACTTACTACCTCCATGTAGCTTTTTCTTGTAGAGAAATTTGGTCTGTTCTCAGTTTCTACCATTCTTCACTCCTTCACTGTTTATCCCAGTCACACAACAAAAGCCTAGGTGCACCCTCTGTCCAGTCAGCACAGGCAGTGGAAAAACCCCTTGGGAGAGGTAGCAGGAGATTATTGAAAATTAGTGACTTTTTTTGTTACTGTTGTACTATACTCTAGATCTAGAATTCTGCTCTTTATCTTATGTAATGATTAGATAATGCTTTAACAAACACCTAAACATAATCATTTAAACAGAATTGTGGTTTATTTTTATCCATTTAAACTCTAAATAGGTATTTCTAGTCAGTATATGTCTGTCTTTGAAGGAGCGACTCATGGACACAGACTCCTACTCTGTGGCACTGCCATCATTAATATGTAGCATCCAAGGCCACTGGATTAGTGTGCAGGAGGGGAAAGAGCATGGAAGATAATGCATGAAAATTTTTCACGGGCCAGTCTCAGAAGTTGTACAATCTCTTCTACCTTCCATTGGGTAGATCTTGGCCACATGGCAACTTCTCTGACTGCAGGGGAGGCTGGGAAAGATAATTTAGCTATGTGCTAGAAGAAGAGAAAACAGGTGACTGGCTAGTCTTCCGTATCTTATCTGAAGTTTGATACATTAGAGTTCTGCCCTTCCCACAAGTCTTCTCTATTCACTGACAATTTATGAAGATGACTAGATGTTGCAGACTTTAACTGCCTGCTTAGCAACCAGAATTCAACATTTAGGACATCTTCATTATACTTCTATATAACTCTCTATGTATCTATTTTATTTTTAATCTCAGACCAAAACAGTGCCTGACATATGTTAGTTACTTGGTGAATATTGAATTAAAGGAATGCATGATTTATCATCTCATCCCTCGTACTGCTTTTTTATAGAAATATCTTTGGTTAAAAAGAACATTTCATGTCAGCTAAAAGATGAATCCCTGGGATCCCTGGGTGGCGCAGCGGTTTGGCGCCTGCCTTTGGCCCAGGGCGCGATCCTGGAGACCCGGGATCGAATCCCACGTCAGGCTCCCGGTGCATGGAGCCTGCTTCTTCCTCTGCCTATGTCTCTGCCTCTCTTTCTCTCTGTGTGACTATCATAAATAAATAAAAAAATTTAAAAAAAAAAAAAAAAAAAAGATGAATCCCTTCCTTCTTCAGTAACTGAAATAATATCAGTTGGTCTGTGTAGCTTCTTTCCTTTGCCTAGGAAGCTCATACTTCTTTATTGAGGACTAAGAAACCTGTGTGAGAGGTAGATTTTCGGAGGAGATGTCTTGAGTACAGTGATAATTCAATTATAAGTCAGCCTGGCTTCCTAGTTGTTTAGAGAAGGGAGTTCTCCTCACACCAGATCAGTGGTAGAAGTGCTATATCAGTTATAGATTATTTGTTAGGGTTTTTTTTTTTCCCCATCTAGTCATAGCTTTCTTAACTATCATTAGCCAAATTCTACACCAAATACTGGGACGCAGACATGAATGAAAGTGTTCCTGCTCTTAAGTTTTCAGTTTTGTGATTGTGGTAGGGATGGCAGACAAGCAAATAACAAAGATTTATACGATTTCGTGATAAGTTATAGATTTATGTGTTCTAAGGGAACATGAAAGAGGGAAATTACTTTATGTTTCATTGATCAGGAAAGTCCTAAGGCTGTACTTCACAGATGGGAGGGCACATGACTCTATAAACTAAGAATCAGGGTAGCTTCATTTACACCCTATCCCTGTATTGTCTGTACTTCAACTGGATCAGGGGCCATCTCTGAAACAGAGAGATATATCCGTTAATTCCCTACCTGCAGGTTTAAGAGGAATATTACATTCCTTATCTGGAGAGAAAGAAGGAAGGAAAGGCCTTCGCTGGGCGAGGCTAAGAGAAAATGCACATTCCTCTCAGCCTCTCAAGAGACATGTCTAATCATAGAATCTGTTATTGAACTGCATCTTTTATATTAACAGAGATCTAGCTGCATTGGAATAAACCAGATCATGACTATATTGCTATGGCTTCTCTCTCTATTTCTTTGGAAAAGTTTAGTTAACTTTAGGCTAACTGTGTTATTTGGATAACTCAGTAACTCAATTAGTAGTCGTCTCCTGTTCAAGAACGTGATTGTTTCACCTACTTTTAAAAATTCTGCCATATTGGTTATGCCTTGCTGCAATAATACTCCTTTCATATCTGTCACAAATTGTTAACCTGTGGCAAATCCTGTTCTGTAATCACACTGACAGTGACTGCAATAAAGCAAAAATAATTTTACTGATTATTTTTTCAATCAAAAAATTAAATGTCATTTATAATTTAGTTTAAAATAGAGAAGTATATGAAATAGTAAAAAAATGACCCATATACCACCCTGAAACATCAATATTTAAAGTTAATATATTTAGACAGTAGAAAATTCAAACAGTACCAATAGATACATAATGAAAGTGTAGCTTTTCTTTTTGCCCCATTGCCCTGTCCCTTCTCTCAGATGAGTGTTCCTTCACTGTCAGTAGTTTCATACAATTTTTTAAAGAAACATTCATATATACACATTAGCATTTGTATGTATTTATCTTTTACTCACTCAATTTATTTTTATTTTTATTTTTATTTTATTTATTTATTCAGGAGAGACACACACAGAGAGAGGCAGAGACACAGGCAGGGGGAGAAGCAGGCAGGGAGCCCGATGCGGGACTCAATCCCGGGTCTCCAGGACCACGCCCTGGGCTGAAGGCAGCACTAAACCGCTGAGCCATCTGGGATGCCCTCAATCACTCAATTTTATTCATTTGTTTATCCATTCAAAAATATTTGTTGAGGGCCTGTTCGGTGCCATACAGAATTTTGAGCCCTAGGGATACAGCAGGGAGTAAAACAGAACAGGTCTTTCCTCTCTTGTCACTTAGAACTAGATGGTAAAGAGAGAGAAAAAAATGTAAAATAGGTGAACAAAGTGACTGATTTGTTCAAATACTATAAAGGAAATAGAGTGGTTTGATGTAGTAAAGTTATTAAGTAAGGTGGTTAGTGAAGGCTTCTGGTTGTACAGTTTATTAAATTCTGAAAAAAGAAAAACATGGATCAAATCAATTAATGCCAGACCTATGCTATTTTTATTTCTAAAGGTGATGCCCCACCTGCCATCCAGCTGCCCACACCTGCAGTCCAGCGCCCAAGCCCCATCTCACTTTTCCAGCCCAGCGTCTCCACTACTGCCCAGGTGGCCGTCCAGGCTCCAAATCTGCCCCTCCTCCCAGCACTCCCACCCCAGCACTTTGCTGGGCCCTCCCAAACAGACACTCATCGGCTGCATTCTGGAGCCAGTTGCTCTGTGAAGAGACCCACGCCTGTCTCTCTGGAGAACACCAACAGGATTCCAACTAGTGCAAGTACTACCCATGCCAGATTTGCAACCTCAACCATCCAACCTCCTAAGGAGTATCCCAGCGTTTCCACTTGTCCCAGAAGTGCACCAATCCCCCAGGCTCCTCCTATTCCACACTCACACGTATACCAGGCTCCTCCCCTTGGCCATCCAGCCACGTTGTTTGGGACACCGCCGCGATTCTCTTTTCATCACCCTTACTTCCTACCTGGACCACACTATTTCCCATCAAGGTAAATGAACATTTTTTTCTTTCACCTAAAGATACAAACAGCTAATGAATTTTTACCTCGAAGGCACCCCTTTTTTACTTAAAAGGTACTTCCTCAATTCTAATTGGAATCTGGTTTAGATTAGAGGCTGAATAGAGGCCAAGCAGTTAACATAAATACATGAAGAAGGCTAGGTGAAGACTAGGACAGCCAATGAGAGTTCATGCCCTATCTAATAGGGTAGCTGCGACTCAGCTGTGCTGATTGTTGCCATAAGTAATACAGTCTCCAATGCTATCAGATCAATTTTTCAGAAAAGTCAGTATTAAGAATCCTTAAGATTAGTTACCCCTCTTTATCTTACTGTATAGAGTCGTGCTTCTCAGACTTTTATATGTATATCAATCACATGTGATCCTGTTAAAATGCAGATTCTGAATCAGTAGGTCTGGGGTAGAGTAGTGTCCTATACCAGAGTATAGTAGGCCTGATATTCTACATTTCTAACAGGCTCCCAAGTGATGCCAGTTCTGTTGGTTTGTAGACCACACTTTGAATAGAAAGGATACAGTAGAGTGCTTGGTCTGAGAGGTTAAATGACTTGTTCAAAGTTACACAGTGGTCTTTTTAACCAAAAATTTATCATATAAATTATCGGTAAAATAATTGATTCTTATAAGGAAGCACCTAGGGAAAACAAATTTGTAACTTTTTATTTTGGAGTGATAGAATTTAGCTTCCTTGCAAACATTCTAATAGAGTATAACTTCTCTTTTTCAATTGATGTTAAATGTATAAAAAGAGACAGTTTCTATTGAAATTGGAGTGTTCTATGTCTAATACCAATCTTCTACTGTTACATATTTAGTAAAGTAAAATTATTTCCCACTTAGGCATACCAATAGCTCAAAGAACTTTTCAGGTAGATATTATGTTACTTCAATTCATAGTAGGATCACTTCTTTCAAGTCCTTATCCCAGTTTGCCACAACCATCCCCCATTTTGTAGCTTAGTGATGGTCAAGGGGATGGTGGCCCATGTTCTGGTCTGACTTTTTTGCTGTTAGAGGAGGCAATGCACACCTTTTTTCTCAAAGCATTATGATTGTAAATTTTTACCTATTTGGTTGCTTCCTGAAGAATTGGTTCAAGGACTTACTTTTGTTTCACTCACCTCAAAACATTCTCAGGTTTGAGTGGTCTTTCAAGTGGTGTTTGTGGAAAATTTTCAAAGACATATACTACTCAGGGCTTTCTGGGGTAAGGGACAACAGATGGGGCAAGTATCAGGCCGACTGAAAGGCCAAGAAGAGACTGGGAAAGGAGGTACATGGGGAAATAAGGGCTTTGAAAAGTTCCCATGTACACTGGGATATCCAGAATGGCACATACATGTCCAGGGCTAGACACATATTAAACAAACACCTGATAAGATGGTAAGCTTTCACCTCTGACTGATTTTAGAGTCTGTGTAAGTAGGAAAAGAGGTCTGAGAAAAAATTGTAAACGGCCTGGCTAAATGCTGAAGGAGTGCCCCAATTTGGACCAATCTGCAAAGACTGAGGGGAAGGTGTTTTTTGCTCTGACTTGTTTTGTTTGGCTCTACAAAACAAAATGTTTAAGGAAAGCTCTGCCAAGTCACTAGGTTAATGGAACAGAGACTTAAATAATCACAAAAGGCAAAGAATGAAGTCTTTACAAAAATAGCTTAGAAAAGTCACCAATGAAAAACACAAGTACAACTCAAAAGAAGCAACAATATCATACCCTGGGGAAGGACAGAAATCTGATTGTTATAAATACTACATGATAATATTCAAAATGTCCAGTTTTCAACAAAAAAACTACTAGGCATGCAAAGAAACAAGGCATGGTATTTCCAAGAAAAAAACTAAAGAAACTACCCCTGAGGAAGCCCAGATATTGGATTTACTAGACAAAGACTTCAAAACAACTGTCTTGAGCTAAAGGGAGCTAAAGAAAACTGTCAGAGACTAAATTAAACCAGAACAGAGTATCACCCAATAGAGAAGAACATCAATAAAGATATAGAGATTATAAAAAGTAACCAAATAGAAATCCTGTTACTTAAAACTATAGTAACTGAAATAAAAAATCACTATGGAGATTCAGCAGCAGATTTGAGCAGGCAGAGGAATTAGTGAATCTGAAGATAGGTCAATTGAAATCATCTACTCTGAGAGGCAGAAGGAAAAAACAGTGAAGAAAAGTGAATAGAACCTTACTTAGGTGGTGGTGTCCCACCATCCGGTATATGAATATAATCACCATGGGATTTCCAGGATAAGAGGAGAGAAAGGAAAAGGCAGAATGAATATTTATAGAAATAGTGGCCAAAAATCATCCAAATTTGAAGGAAGATATGAATCCAAGAAGTTCAATGAATAAAGATAAATTCAAAGAGATCCACAGAGATACATTATAATCAAACTGTTAAATACCAAAGATAAAAAAAAGAAAAAAAAGAATCTTGAGTGCAGCAAGAGGAAAGTGACTTATCTTGTACGGTAGATTCTCAATAAGGCTAATAGCCAGTTTCTCATCAGAAACCATGAAGGACGAAGACCGTGGGTTACATAGTGCTGAAAGGAAAAAAAAAAAAACCATCAACAAGGAATTCTATAACTGACAAAGCATCTTTCAAAAATAAAGGAGAAATTAAACCCTTCTCAGGTAACAAAAGTTGTGAAAGTTCGTAACTAGTAGACATGTCTTACAAGAAATGCTAAAGAGACTACTTCAGACTGAAATAAAAAAAGACACTAGACAATAACTCAAAGCCAAACAAAGAAATAAAGAACGCTGGTAAAGGTTACTACATAGGTACATATAAAACCCAATATTAGGGCAGCCCGGGTGGCTCAGTGGTTTAGAGCCGCCTTCGGCCCAGGGTGTGATCCTAAACACCTCAGATCGAATCCCACGTCAGGCTTCCTGCACGGAGCCTGTTTCTCTCTCTGTGTCTCTCATGAATGAATAAATAAATAAAATCTTTTAAAAAAACCAATATTATTGTATTTTTAGTTAGTAACTTCTCTTTTTTCCCCTGTATTATTTTTTTCCCCTGTATTATTTAAAAGGCAAATGCATAAAACAATTACTATAAATCTATGTCAATGGATACAAAATGTATAAATATGTAATTTTATACATATAAAAGGGTGGTGTTTTATACAGAATTTTCATATGCCTATGAAGGCAAATATCAATTTAAATTAGATTGTTATAATTTTAGGATTTTAATTGTAATCCCCAACGTAACCTAACCATTTAAGAAAATAACTAAAAATATACAAAAAGGAAATGAGGAAACAAAATGGTACACTAGAAAAATCCATTAATGGAATGCTACTCAGCCATCAAAAAAAAAAAAAAGAAAAGAAAAGAAAAGAAAAAGAAAGAAAGAAAAGATATCTTGCCATTTGCAATGACATGTATGGAATTAGCTAGAGGGTATAATGCTAAGCAAAATAAGTCAATCAAAGAAAGACAATTGTATGATCTCACTCACGTGGAATTTAAGAAACAGAAAGGAAAATCATAGGGGAAGAGAGGAAAAAATAAAACAAAATGAAATCAGAGAGGGAGACAAACCATAAGACATTTTTACTTATAGGAAACAAACTGAGGTCACCGGATGGGAGAGAAAGGGGGGATGGGGTAACTGGGTGATGGACATTAAGGAGCACATGTGATATAATGAGCACTGGGTATAAGACTGGTGAATCACTGACCTCTACCTCTGAAACTAATAATACATCATATGTTAATTAATTGAATTCAAATTAAAAAAAGAAAAATCCTTTAAACTTAAAAGCTCTTAATGGAGAAACTGAGGAACAGCAAAAGAATGACATATAGAAAGCAAATAGCACTCGAAATCTCACAGAGGAAGACATAGACATGGCCAACACACACATGAGAAAATGCTCCGCAACACTTGCCATCATGGAAATACAAATCAAAACCACAATGAGATCCCACCTCACACCAGTGAGAATGGGGAAAATTAACAAGACAGGAAACCACAAATGTTGGAGAGGATGCGGAGAAAAGGGAACCCTCTTACACTGTTGGTGGGAATGTGAACTGGTGCAGCCACTCTGGAAAACTGGGTGGAGGTTCCTCAAAGAGTTAAAAATAGACCTGCCCTATGACCCAGCAATTGCACTGTTGGGGATTTACCCCAAAGATACAGATGCAATGAAATGCCGGGACACCTGCACCCTGATGTTTATAGCAGCAATGTCCACAATAGCCAAACTGTGGAAGGAGCCTCGGTGTCCATCGAAAGATGAATGGATAGAGAAGATGTGGTTTATGTATACAATGGAATATTACTCAGCCATTAGAAACAACAAATGCCCACCATTTGCTTTGACGTGAATGGAACTGGAGGGTATTATGCTGAGTGAAATGAGTCAATCGGAGAAGGACAAACATTATATGTTCTCATTCATTTGGGGAATATAAATAATAGTGAAAGGGAATAGAAGGGAAGGGAGAAGAAATGGGTAGGAAATATCAAAAAGGGAGACAGAACATAAAGACTCCTAACTCTGGGAAATGAACTAGGGGTGGTGGAAGGGGAGGAGGGTGGGGGGTGGGGGTGAATGGGTGACGGGCACTGAGGGGGGCACTTGATGGGATGAGCACTGGGTGTTATTCTGTATGTTGGTAAATTGAACACCAATAAAAAATAAATTTATTATTAAAAAATAAAAATAAGGGATCCCTGGGTGGCGCAGCGGTTTGGCGCCTGCCTTTGGCCCAGGGAGCGATCCTGGAGACCCGGGATCGAATCCCACGTCGGGCTCCCGGTGCATGGAGCCTGCTTCTCCCTCTGCCTGTGTCTCTGCCTCTCTCTCTCTCTCTCTCTCTGTGACTATCATAAATAAATAAAAAAAATTTAAAAAAAAAAAAATAAAAAAAAAATAAAAATAAAAAAATAAAAGTCTTAATGGTGAAAAAAAAAGAAAGCAAATAGCAAAACGGCAGAA